GTAGAGACCCCAGAAAGCTCCTCTTACACTATTCGTCATACTCCCAGACCTTCCCCCAGTAAACATCCTGAAATGCCCCCTCCTTTAAACGAAGGACAAAAGGGAAAAGATCAAACAAACAGGGGAGGATGTTTGCCGCACTTTCCTGACCCAGGCTGAAAGATCCCGTGACTATGAAAACAGGGATAAAAGGTCTGAAATATCTCTTGTCCGTCAAACAATACCGCGACAAGGATGAGGAAGTCCCACAAAACATTCCAGATGCACAAAGACTGCTGACGTTCATTCGAACTGGGTTGGGGCGCGGCAGACTTGGGGTCGAGGATGCCATTAACTCATGTAAAATATCACTCCCAATTGCCATCGTTGAGCATGAAAAATTTAAAAAATGGAAACAGTTCTGTTCAGGGAGGGTGCCAGTTTTAGTTCATCCCCTCCCTCTATAGAGCTTTGAAACTGATCTATCCTTGGTATATACTTGGTCTCTCCCATAAAGGTACCATGAAGACTGAGATGAACCAAGGATCAATGGGCGAGGCTACCGGTATCCTTACCCAGGCCATGTTCAAATCAGTTTTCCTAAACGGTTTGATAATGGAACTTTGGTTAGCTAGTGTGAATGTCCGGGACCTGAGATCGGAGTCTCGCAGGGCGAGCTCTCACGTGACCTTCAGCGTCTCAGGATAAATGTTTGTTGTGTGTAGTAGAACCTGTTTGTCAACGTGTGATTACGAGAGCATTCTGTCTCGGGGTTATCCCCTCTATTCAGAATGATTTGATGGTCACTCGAGAGGAGTTTCCTGGCTGGTGTTCTTGTCTTCGCAGATCTGGTGGTCAGGCTTTGAGTTCTGGATGTTACAATAAAGGATAAGATTCTACGTCTCATTGGGGTTTATGCGCCCAATTACCATACTGTGTGGTCTGATTTGTTTCGGCGGATCGAACCGTTTTTAACGACATCTCGTCGGGTAGTTTTAGCGTGCGATTAGAATTTTTTTGTTTTTTTATTGATGCGGCATTCACCCTGGGCGGATTGAGCCGGCTTCTTCCTGTTGACTCATTCGTAGTCATGTGAGAAGAAGATTCTTGGGATAAATTACAGAAGTAGGGTACCCAGGCCTACTCGAATAACGTTCTTGCTTGCCGCGGGATTCCCACAGACGCAGAGACAGGAACGACCAGAAGCCGCCGGTTGCCGATGCAGACGCTCCTTGGATTTTTTTAAGAGCAGGTTTGAATTCAGAGTTTTCCTTCTCCTAGACTAGTTGCCATTCAAGGCTATAGAACCCAGTCTGTCCTGCTATTTACCCATAGCTGGAGGGAGAAGAAGAGGATTCACACCTTTCCCAAGGGTGTTAGCACGTAAGTGAAAGTAATGGATTCGACTGGAATTCGAACTCGGCTCTCCGATTCCTCAATCCAAGCCGCTATCCACTACTCCACCGTGCCTCCCTATACTCCACCGTTTCTCCCTATACTCCACCGTGCCTCCCTAATGCGATTAGAATGCCGTCCTTGACCCCGAAATAGATCTTATACGGACAAGATCGGGTACTAACATCCGAGGCGATAAGCCATTTTGGGACTTTATCGATATGTTTGATCTTGTCGATAAGTACCGTAATCAACACCCTCGAGAGGTAGTGTGGACTTGGACAAATGACGGTGGCTCGGCTACGGAAGTATGTTCTAGATACCTCGACCAAGTCATAGTTATGAGAGTCGATGTAGGGCTCTGAGAGTGTTCAAGTTTCCATTATATCATTTACTCGAATCATAGGCTTGTCCGGGTTCGTGTAAACTTAGATAAGCCTAAGTTTAAGATGGCTGGGTACTGGAAATTGAACTTGTCATTACTTGGTGAGCAAGATTTCCAGGACAAGCTACTACTAATGCTAGAACGGGAACTTACGGAGACTGTGGTTAGTAATATGTGGTGGGATAAATTAAAATCTGAAAATTAGGTCGTTTGCTGCTGAATATAGTCGTCAGCTCAATCTAGATAGATTAGCGGCGCAAACGGCATGCGAGGAAAAAGTCGATCGAGCAGTAAAATCACGTAACTTTAGCTAAGGCACAGTTGGTCTCCTTACTTATCAAGATAGATCAAGTTCTGGGACTTAGCGCTAGTTTAAAAAGAATGTCTTCCGAGGCACCCATTATGGCAACTGAAATGCGTACAGAGGAAGTTAGTAATGCATCTCGTCGACATAACGCGTGCGTCACATTGCCGCATAATCGGACCGTGACTACATGGAACCTTAAAGTGGTCTGTTTTTATTCAAATTTATTTGCTCTGAATTTACATTGAGCTCTCTGGATATCATCCTCCTTGGGTCTATCCATACGGATTACCTAGTTTTGCATAAACTATATATATATATATATATATATATATATATATATATATATATATATATATATATATAGCATTACTAAGCAAGTAAACTGAATTGAGTTCTCCGAGCCGCTGGCGTATTTCGTATAGAGAAAAACGTAAAATTCACTTACTTTCCGCGATATCATATCAGTCGGGTTTCGATCCCGACTTAAAGCAATCGGACGTCTAGCCACACTTAGTAGCTGTGACACAGCCTGTCTGCGGATGACTATATATATTTGTGAATTTAGGCAGCAGTCATTCTTTCATGCACGTTTCATTTAATACGACAGACAAGATGATTTGAGTCAGTTTTTTATACAATATCTCGTGTGAGCTAATTTTTTTTTTCTTTTCGGATGATAAATTATATAAAAACTATCAAACTGTTTTTTTTTTGTTTTTTTTATCCGAGCGCTTTCAGCTATACATTTAGCCATTTTAAAGTTTGATTGACTGTTAACAAGAAATAGATTGTTGTATATATGTATTTATATAATGTTTTCATATTCAAAACACATAACATATAACCTATTCGAAACATATTTGTTGATAGCACAAATATAATAGCATCATCTACATGCAAAATAGGCTAAAACTAATGGAAGCATTATTGATAAAAACAATAATGCGGACACTCAATAATATCAACTATGAACATGGACACAATATCTTGACCGTGTTAGAGAAGGATTCTTGTCGTAATACAAATAGAGTGTTAAGTTGATCCCCGATTCTAAAATAGTTATCTATAATATGTGGGCGGGGGCTTCGGCCCTTAGCAGGTCCACCCAGACTCAACAGGTCTGTGCGGTAAGGGCCAGACGAAAAACACACCCTGGTCCTCCATGTTGGGGGTTGTGCAGTAGGCTAATAACCTACTCACTTAAGAACTAGCTTCTTACAGAAACCTCAAAGGTGTCCCCAAACAACGACATGGCCTAGGAAGATTCCTCCAAAGTGGAGCGTATGTCGCGTGCTGGTGAAAATCCCCCGGGAAGGCAGCTGGCACGAAATGGAACGAGCTGAAGACGATTGTCCGGACCCGCATCCGTTGGAGAGGAGTTGTTGCGCGGCCCTTTGTTCCCCAAGGAATTAAGAAGCATAATGAATATGAATTGGGGAAAAAAAACCTGATAAAATCAGTAGTACGTAGCTATCAATGACGCAAGCAGATTTTCAAACTTGACATTTGTAAATAAGAACAAAGTACATATAACTCTTTTAAAAGTTGGGTATTGATTTGAAACTGTATTCATATTGTGAAAAATGAGAATTTGATTTGCCTTTTTAGTTTTTTACGAATTAACGAACCTTTGCGGTTGTTTAAAGCCAAAAGATATTTTGGATTGTAAAAATAATTCTTTTTTTTCTTGCGATAGAATATTGAAATATCAATATTTCTTTTATTGCGTCAACAAAGATTTTTCCATATGCATGCCTTACTATTTAACCTATAGTTGGGAGAAAGAGATGGGTTCATACCTTTCTTAACTGCATTTGAGTGTAAGCGAATGTAACAAACCTAACTAGAATTCGAAATCGGGTCTCTGATTTCTCATTCCGAGCCGGTATCCGTTACACCACCCGCACACCTTCTCTAAAATGATGAAAAGTCAATATTTTTCGATTTTTGACAAATGTTGTGGAAAGAGAAAATTCTAATTCATATAGATTTAAAAGTTTGTACCCTCCCACACAATTCTTATCTGTTTTTGTTTTGTTTTGTTTTGTTTTTTTAATCATTTCACCCCAAACAAGTGGGAATGCCACTAGTACGCAGGGGGTTACAGGGGGTAAAACTGAAAGAGAAGACTGAGAATAGGAAGCATGGAATAAAGGACAAAAAAAAAGATGAATCAGGTTCAAGAAGATACAATATGATCATTGACGTTGCATTTAAATGTTTGAAGATTATAGCTATCAAGGAAGCAAGTAAGCGGAAGGGAGTTACTCAGGCGGGAAGTGCGAGAAACTAAACTGTTCGAGTAGAACTAGCGGTTGCATTTAGCTATTTCAACAGTAAATGGATGGGACCTAGGAGCCAATCCAGTAGAACGTTTAAATTAATGTAGCCGTGGCACCAGGGAAAATCTTCTTTTTTTTACGAGCGGACCACTTAACCTAAGTAGGTCCTAGCTGGAAACAAATACAGCGGAGGGGAGATAGACATGAGTATAAATTATTTGTTTCTGGTGTTCGCAGGTTGTCTATCATTGCTAAACTACCGTATTTATTAATATTCTAGACTGTACATTGAATTTATGAAGAGGCTGGTATAAGACCAGTCGGCTTCTGCAGTTGAATGTCATGAGTATTAACCCCTTAAAGAACGCGTCTATTAGCGAAAGCTTACGAACAGTAATGGAGCGGGAGGCCCAGGGTATCCGGTTACCACGTGATACAATCGGCCAACCAGCTGCTTGTGTCATTTACTGCAAAACGACTTTCTGCTTTTCCATTTGTTTTATTATTATTATTATTATTATTATTATTGTTGTTGTTGTTGTTGTTGATCTTGTTGTTGTTGTTGTTGTTTTCGTTCCGTATTTGTCTTAAGTTTTCTTTTAGCATTATTTATTTCTTAGTTTCCTTTTTATTCCTGAATATGGATGTCATGTCAACTGGGTATAGCGAAAGAAAGAAAGAAAGAAAGAAAGAAAGAAAAAAGAAAAGAAAGAGAGAGAGAGAGAGAAAGAAAGAAAGAACTACGCATAAAAAAGAAGAAAATAAATAAATAAATAAAGAAAGAAAGAAATAAAGAAAGAAAGTAAGAAAGAAAGAATGGTGGAAATAAATGAAGGAAAGAAATGTAGGTTGGAGAAAAAAAGAAAAAAGAAAGAAACAAACAAAGAACTGTGCATAAAAAAGAAGAAAAAATAAATAAATAAATAAATAAATAAAGAAAGAAAGAAAGAAAGAAAGAAAGAAAGAAACAAGTATATAGAGAAAATAGAAAGAGAAATAAAGAACGAATAAAATGGAGAGAAAGCAGCAGGGAAAGAAAATGTCGATATTGAAAGAAAGATGATGAAAATACTATCAGAAAGAAAGAAAGGAAGAATTGAACATAAAAATGAAAGAAAGAAAGAAAAACGGAAAGAAAAAAAGAAGGAAGGAAATGTGGATAAAAAGTAACAAAAAAAAAGAAAAAATGAAAAAAATATATGAATTAAAAGAAAGAAAAAAGAAATATCGAAAGAAAAGGATAGAAAAGAAATAGAGAAATAAAGAACGAATAAAATGGAGAGAAAGAAGCAGGGAAAAATATGGATATTGAAAGAAAGATGACGAAGATACTATCAGAAAGAAAGAAAGGAAGAATTGAATAGAAAGAAAGAAAGAAAAAAGAAAGAAATGTAGGTAGGCGATAGAAAGAAAGGCAAAAAAGAAAGAAAGAAAGACAGAAAGAGGAAAGGTGGATAAAAAAAAGAAAGAAAGGTGGCTAAAAAGGAACAAAAGAAAGAAAGAAAGAAAGAAAGAAAGAAAGAAAGAAAGAAAGAAAGAAAGGTGGCTAAAAAGGAACAAAAGAAAGAAAGAAAGAAAGAAAGAAAGAAAGAAAGGTGGTTAAAAAAGGAACAAAAGAAAGAAATATAAAAGAATGTGGAAAAATGAAAAAAAGATATAAAGTAAAAGAAAGAAAGAAAGAAAGAAAGAAAGAAAGAAACAAACAAACAAGAAATATCGAAAGAAAAGGGTAGAAATGAAATAGAAAGAGGGATAAAGAACGGATAAAATGGCGAGAAAGAAGCGAGGAAAGAAAATATGAATTTTGAAAGAAAGATGTCGAAAAAAAAAGGAGGGAAAAGAAAAAGAAAGAAAGAAAGAAAGAAAGAAAGAAAGAAAGAAAGAAAGAAGGAATTGAAAACAAAAAGAAAGAAACAAACAACAGAAGTATTAGAAAGAGAAAGAAAAAAGAAAGGGAGAACTGAAAACGGATAGAAAGAAAAAACAAAAGAAGTATTAAAAAGTGAAAGAAAGAAAGAAAGAAAGAAAGAAGGAAAGAAAGAAGGAAAGAAAGAAAGAAGAAAAGAAAGAAAGAAGAAAAGAAAGAAGGAAGGAAGGAAAGAAAGAAGGAAGTAAAGAAAGAAAAAAGAAAAGAAAGAAAGAAAGAAAGAAAGAAAGAAAGAAAATGAAATCGCTAACAAAGAAAATAATAGAAAATAAAGAATCGAACAGAGGAAAAAGAAAGGTAAAGAAGAATAAAGAAAAAGAAAGGTAAAACAAAAAAAGAAAGAAAGAGAGATGTAAATAACAAAAGAGAGGAAGAAAGCAGAAGAGTAGAGAAAGAAAAAGAGAGAAACGCTTTTTACGAAAGGCAGGGCAAGAATGCAGAAAAAAAACACACAAAAAGAATAAAAATAGGGACATATGGAAGCGAGACCAAAAAAAAAAAAAAAAACAAAATCTTTCTTTCTTATATAAGAAGGTGAGCGGAAAAATGACTCTACCAAAGCCTGATGTTTGTTTATTTGGCAAACTGTGTCGGCTCGAGAACTCTTCACTCGCCCCTCACGTACGCAATACACATGTATATATCTGTGCGTGCGTGAGAGTATCTCTATAAAGAAAATGTCTTTCCAACAGGAATCGAACCTTCGACCACCTTTTGTAGGAAGAAATCACTATTCACTCTGACGTACTTAGCCGCTCGGCTACGAAGCGCGTCATGGTATGCCGGAGCCATTTTTCTTTTCTTTTAAGTACTTCCACAGTACGACATTTTTTTTCTACTTTGAACCGACCGTCTCAGACTTGATTTTATACCAGTGTTTATGATAGTCTATTTAATAAGTTATAAGACAGAAATAAGAATTTAGAAAGAGTTTACTAAAGGCCATTATAAATCCGCCATAAATCATCCCTTAAAAATCCAGTTGCTGCCCAACCATCTGAAAATTCAATCACAACAATTGATTCAATATACTTGCATTATTTACATTATTCGGACTGTTATCCTCATTTTCATTGCCATAATCACAACGTTTCGGCCGTTGTACGCTCCGGCATTCTTCAGGTAATTGGAATTAGGTACCGTACCCTTTATTTCGGCACTCGGATATACATTCCTCTGGCAGCTTTCAACAGACAAAGATGTTACTTCAGGTAAGAACAGCAATATAGTATTTTCATCATGTAGGTAGAGCAGTCAGAAGAAAGCCACTTTTAAGTTTCTCGTTACGAAATATTCACTGACCTTTAGATCGTTATGAAATTCTCGTACTCGTGGTGATGGCTTTAAAATGGCTTCTGTAGACTTCTTTTATTGTTGTTGCCTATAATATTAGTATTAATTATTGTTATCGTTCGGATTCTTCAATTTCAACTAATTTAGAAACAACAGCGACGTAAAGATTTTAATAGTGGTTATCGGGGCCTTTTTGTCAGCCTTTGAATATTGGCGGTACCCCATGGCTCAGTCTGTCTAAGGTAACACGATTATTTGTAACTAAAAGCATTACAGCGATAATCAGACGCTTAATATTAAGATAACTAAGATAACTATCACCAACACACCTTACATGACTAGTGGACTACAGTAGTTGCCACGTTCGAAATACAATGAGAGGAGTAGTCATAGAATAAAATAAAATAAAAGGATTACACATTTTATTGAGCACACATACACACACATGTATATATATATATATATATATATATATATATATATATATATATATATATGTATATATACATACCAACAGATTTGTTAACATTACCATATATATATATTTCTGAAGGGACACACACACACACACACACACACACACACATATATATATATATATATATATATATATATATATATATATATATATATACCAACAGATTTGTTAACATTACAACATATATATATATATATATATATATATATATATATGTACCTTCAGAAACTTATACGCGACAGAAATATATATATATATATATATATATATATATATATATATATATATATATATATATATATATATATATATATATTAGTGGAAAATATACATACATATGAAAAAATATATATCTAAAAAATTTCCATACATGTGTATTTTCAGAAAAAATTTTCCAAGAGGAAGGATCCAGGTAGAACTCAATGTCTAGGACAGAGTAAGGATATAATAAAAAAGCTTAAACACTAATATTCCATGGTCATAATTTATTCCATTGGAATCGTAAATACGATCCAAATCATCAGACCTACAAATTCAAATATTGGATATACGAAAACTACATTATCAAGACGTCTTACACTATTTAAATTATTCGGACTATTGTCCTCATCTTTCTCGTCATATTTATTACAACGTTTCGGCCGTTGTACGCTCCGGTCTTCTTCAGGTGGTTGGAATGTCGAACTGCATCCTTTATTTCGATCACTGGGGTAGACTGTTCTCGTTCCTCGAGGACATATGGCACAGTGGATAAAGGCGTTATTTAGATCCAGTGACAGGACCCAAAGAGTGTGAGTTCAATACCCGGTTAAGACAGTGGAGAGCTTGGAGAGGGGAATTAACAGGAGATAACTGGCATCCATTAAAACATTGCTTACCTTCCCTTTGTTTTCTCTTTTTAGCCTAAGAGTTGCTGGGTTAATAATTGTAGTAAAATATATAACAAACTGAATGATATATATATATATATATATATATATATATATATATATATATATATATATATATATATATATATATATATATATATATATATATATATGTGTGTGTGTAGCGCGGGCCTTGGTGTCCAAGATGGTCGATCTGCGCGTAAGTGAATGGCGGTAAGAGGGTGGGGATATAATGGGAGGTTGAACGCCTACCTGATTTTGGGGCCCTATTTGCCTTTTTTCGCGATATATGCTTTAAAACTGCTCTCTATTAATCCCCACAGAGATCCTTCCCTGCCCTCCATTAGAATGTCTGATGCTCAACGTCACGAGAGCACCTCTCTGCGGCTGCTCGGTCTCACGTTGACTGCTGACCTGAGATGGAACAAATACATTGAGTCAATTGCTTCGTCCACCGCAAGGAAAGTTGGCTCCCTGTGCCGTACCAGGAAATTATTCTCCCCAGAATCGATCCTCCAGATCTACAAATTAACAATTCGCCCTTGCATGGAGTATTGCTGCCATATATGGTCTGGAACCCCTTCTGTTTTCCTCGGGGTTCTTGATAGGTTCCAGAGGCGGATATGCAATATAATTGGCCCTGATCTGGCATCTCGTTACAGTCATATTCTCACAGACGCGCCGTCGCCTCTCTCTGTCTGTTCTACAAATGCTTTCATGGAAATTGCTCATGGAAAGAGCTGCATTCGCTGGTTCCCAGACTTCATGAGTTCAAGCGCCCTATGAGGCTGGCATCCCGTTCTCACCCCTTCACTGTCGAAATTCCTAAATGTAGCCGTCTCTTCTACTCCAATAGCTACATGTCTCGTACCTCTCGCCTGTAGAACTCCCTTCCCTATTCCTGTTTCCCTGAGAGCTATAATTTCCTGCTATTCAAATGTAATGTCAATCGACATCTCCAGTTGCCTTGATCTATCCACTACCCTTCTCCTCATCCTTTCTTCTATCACTCATATCTGATCTTGCTCCAAATTTTCTGTAACCCCTTGCGTCCTTGTGGCTTCCCGCCTTGCTTGGGGTGAAATGCTTAAAAAAAATTTAATGGTGTGAAAAAAAAGCCTCAAAAAATAATACTAATTTATGCCAATGATTCCATAAGTAATTTCGGGTAATTTGTGTTTTAAGCCCCGAAGAGTCTACCCCGGTGAACGAAATAAAGTGTTCAGTTCGACATTCCAACCATCTGAAGAAGGCCGGAGCGTACAACGGCCGAAACGTTGTGATAAATATGGCGACAAAGATGAGGACAATAGTCCGAATAATGTAAATAGTTTACATAATACCTCATCTCAGAAATATAGACAGATACTAAAAGGCCGAAACGTTGTGATAAATATGGCAACAAAGATGAGGCCAATAGTCCGAATAATGTAAATAGTGTACATAATACCTCATCTCAGAAATATAGACAGATGCTGAAAGGCCGAAACGTTGTGATAAATATGGCGACAAAGATGAGGCCAATAGTCCGAATAATGTAAATAGTGTACATAATACCTCATCTCAGAAATATAGACAGATGCTGAAAGGCCGAAACGTTGTGATAAATATGGCGACAAAGATGAGGACATTAGTCCGAATAATGTAAATAGTATACATAATACCTCATCTCAGAAATATAGACAGATGCTGAAAGGCCGAAACGTTGTAATAAATATGGCGACAAAAATGAGGACAATAGTCCGAATAATGTAAATAGTGTACATAATACCTCATCTCAGAAATATAGACAGATACTGAAGGGCCGAAACGTTGTAATAAATATGGCGACAAAAATGAGGACAATAGTCCGAATAATGTAAATAGTGTACATAATACTTCATCTCAGAAATATAGACAGATACTGAAGGGCCGAAACGTTGTAATAAATATGGCGACAAAGATGAGGACAATAGTCCGAATAATGTAAATAAAGTCTATTTTTATTCTAAATTTACATACCTAATTCGAAAATAACAAAAACATTTTTTATAAAATCTACCGTTTTGGAATTAACGACATTAAAAGTTCGGACTCATTCGTGTCGTTGTCGGCTACGGCACGGCAACCATTATTATTATTATTATTATTATGACATCGGTTTCGAGAAAGATTTTAATAAAAACCAATATAAATCACCCAGAGAACATCCAGCTGCTGACCTATCGTCTGAACAGGTGAATATATTCCTTTAGTACAACGGGTAGCGAGTGAGCCGAACACTCCTCCTCTTTCGGCAGTCAACGCCAACCTTTTGGATGTTTTCAAAAAGGGGATCAAAATTCATTTTGATAACATTGACAGATGTTCAAGGTACCTCTTTTATTGTCTTAAACGCTTTTTTTTTAATTCAATGATTCGATTTTTTTCTGTGTTCTGCATGGAGCCTCTGATGTATATTATATCGCTTACCTCCGATTTGTTTTCCCATTTTAACCTAAGAGCTGCTGGGTTAATAATTGCGATAACATATTTAAGAAAGTGAAAGACAT